CTTCGGCTTCAGTTACTTATAAAAAAAAAAAAAAAATTTAAAAATTATATGATATACTCAAAAAAAGTATGCTCCAAATTATTTGCTTTATTCACGCTTATGAAGCTGTTGATTTATATGCGCATCTATTGGACATGCGCTTGTACAGCAAAAACTATTTTTTGTATTTTTTAATGTTTACAATTACGGTACAGTAAATATATTTTTTAATTTAAAAATACAGTGAATTTTTGGTAAGGAAATGTGCATTGTGATGTGCTTTTGCAAGGTCATAACTTAAGTTCCGTATGATGGTTGCAAGTTACACCCAAATTGCTTTAACCACTTATATACACATTAAGAAATATTAACGATGATGAGGAATCTGACTTTAACATTACCGTGAATAAATTACTAATTTTGCAATTACAATTCATAATCCTCTTTTTTCCTTTAAAATCTACTATATTAAAATCTGGATAGAATCGGATCACCAATATATGGTTAAGAGGATTTTAATAAGCTGATAATGCTTTGGATTATAGATCAAGCAAGGCAAAGCTTATCTATAGAAAAGTTGAAAGCTTATAGTGGCTATAGAATTCTGCATACTAACCACTTTCACCACGGAACGCAGAGAATCAAGTATGGCTGCAGGGCAAGGAGTCTAGCAAAGCGGATGCAACAATGTGCTATTGCAAGCTAAAGGAATGAGGATTTTTAAATGTTGACAAAGCTTTACATTAAGTGTTCCACTGTAACTTTCAGTTTGTATTGTATAGTGATGTATGTTGTATACGTTATTTACTTGAACATGCAATTAACAAATGTTTCAGGGAGGGGGGGGGGTATTTAAACAGAAAAAAACACATTTACATTAATCATTAGAATTCATTTTTCAAATATTTATATTATAATATCACCCCAGGCAATTAATAATTATTAAGTTTAACACAAAAAACCATCTTCCATCATGCACTGTTCACATTTCAGTTTTTTTTTTCACAATTAACAACTTCAACATAGCAAGAATTATTGGGATGATATAATTTTGATTTAATTGTCTCTACTAGATATTGATTTTCAGCAAGTCAGTCAAAGATTTATAAGTCTAGGGTAAGCAAGGTTGTGATATGCAATGAAGCTCATACAAGAATTGAAGAATTTATGTTAGTTGTGATATGATCACAAACACCAACATTTCTAGAATTCCAAATGCAAATTAGTGAGTCTGTGAAATAAGAACTAGTTTGTGTTCATCTCAGGTGATTTAAATAATGTCTCTGCATATACGAAAAGCAATTTCGCTTATTCTGTTTATGCTATCAAACATTACGAAGCACACATTTCACTCTCTGACTATGGTTGCTTTCCGATCGCGAGAATTCGCTACTCATGAGGTCTTCATTGCATATCACCATATATGGATATCAAATTTGCATACCTAAGTCTTATAAATCTTTGATCACTATTTATTTACATGCAAAATATACTCCAAAATGCAGTATTCTTTGCAATTTGGTTTTTTAGGGGTGATTTTATTTTATTTTACAAATAACAAGTCATTTTATTTTTTATTTACTGTGATAAATTGTTTCATGTCACATTTCAATTATCATAAACTAAAAAATTAAAAATGTGTCACTCGCTTGAATATTTCTCAATTGACGGAGGTAAGTAATATATTAAACTATTAAAATCTTGCTGCTAGAAATATTCGTTATTTCACAATTTGGGAAGGTTTGCTAGGACAAAATTTTGTGAAAGTCACTGCGACTACTCGTCTTAAAGACTTCAATGAAATGTTTGCTGCAACAATATTTCAGTAAAGTCACTGTGACTTCCTGTCTCAACACATTTCCTGCTGGCATCGTTTTTTTTTCCCCATTCATTTCGGCTATCTGCATGCAATGTGTTGAGAACCCCAGTGAAGTCTTCACTACTACAGTATTTCATGACTTTCATTGTTTTGCCAAAATTTGTCTTG